GACTTTAAAAGAGTTAAATAGAGTTATAAAGTTTGTTGAGTTCAATGTAGTTCAATTGATTTCTATCAACTCCACATTGAGTTTGATTAAATTCCTAGATTGATTTTGATGCTGTTTGTTAGAGTTTTATCGTAGATTTTAAAAGAGTTGATTAGAGTTCTAAAATATATTTTTTTTCTTTTTTCTTTTTTTATGTAATTGTACCCAATTGTAGAAATTGGGCGTCGAGCTAACGAACGTTCAATATGACCATCATGTATGAGAGCCATTAAAGCATTGAGCACTTGATCTTAATGGTTTCATAATCATGTTTCTCTAATTCATCATCGTCCATTTCCTCTTCTTCTTTTTCTTCCTCGATTTTTTCATTCCATAGTACTTCATCTACTTCTTCCATCTCCATTAATAATGTTACTAGATAATATATGCAATCTTTAATTAGTTCATAAGAAAAAATATCTATATGAAGATAATTTTTTTCCTTTTTGTTTTGGCATGGACCTAAATATATATATATATATATATATATATATATATATATATTAGCGATAAAGAAGGGAAACGTAGAACAAAAAAAAAGAAGGATGATTGTAGATGAAGAAGGCTATCGACATTTGATGAACAGCAACAACAAAAAAGGATGATGTAGAAAAAGTACAGAAAAAAAACAGCAACCAAAAAAAAAAAAAAGAAGGAGAAGTAGAAACAGCAATTGCTTGGATATATGACAGCAACAATAACTATTCAACTATTCATACATGATGTGCATCGAATACAAGTAACAACCATTGCTTGGATATATGATGATGTATAGCAACAACAATTATTCAAGCACTAGAGCGTAGAAAAAGAGAAGAGATTTTTTACCTCCACTTGACAAGCACACACGTTCAAGGACTGGAAAGCGTAGAGCAAGTTCAAAGTTTCTAGGGTTCACGTAAGATTTGTCAAGGCCTTTTGTATTTATACTTACCACTTTATTTTCTAACAAAATCGGGCAATTTATTAATTCCTTCAAAATAAATTACTTTTTGAATACACCTAAATTTTGTTTGACCCTTAAAAAGTCATAATTGAATACACCTAGATTTCAATGTATTTTTTTTTTAATATCAATTGAAATCTGAATTGAAAACACCCAAACTTTTAAACTCTTTTAAACTCTTTTAAAATCTTAATTGAATACACCCCCCTAAGTTACTGATGAGTGGGCAACCTTTTTAGCAATTAATTTTTTGATGTCCACAATGAGAGTTCCAACAGCGTTAGAGAGTAGAGAAGGAAATGAAGGAAATGGAGTTCGCAGAATGGAGAAGAAAAAAGGGGCAAAGGACTGTCAATTTGTAAAATAAGTGAGGGTATTGTGGGAAAGTTAAAAGTTCATTAAAACAACCGGTTAAATGTTTTTTGAAACAGCTTTTAAAAGCTAGGTAGAGACTGCTTCGAAAAAATAGCGATCATTGACCGTGATTTTAAAAAAAAGCAGGATTCTTGATGTTTACCAAACACCCAACCTATGAATTTTTTTTATTAAAGCTGCTTTTAAAAAAAAATTAAGCGCTGCTAAACGCCACCTTACTCCTTCCTAATAGTAAGATTTCAATAATAAATAATATATATATATATATATACCAGATTATATAATCATTTTATTAGTCCCTAAACTTAAACCCGATTTGTATTTAAGTCCCCAAATTTCCAAAATCTTTCCCTTAGTCCTTTAACTTCACTTTCGTTAGAACAAATGGTCATGCCGTCAATTTTGTTAACTTTTTGTTAAATGCAGGGGTAAAATGGTATTTTTATATTAAAACAAAAAAAATGAATAAAAAATCATATCTTTAAAATAACAATAAAAGAAAATCAAATAAAAAAACCAAAAAAAAAAAGTTTGGGGGGAGTAGAAATCGGGATAGAGAGGGATAGAGAGAGTTTAATTTTAATTTTTCAGTTTTTTAATTTTTTATTCATATTTTAATCAATTTAATAAAAAAATATTAGTTTGCCCCTGCATTTAACAAAAAGTTAACAAAATTGAAGACTATTAAGGCCCAAAAATCCAGGGTTGGGTCCAAATAAATTCTCAGCCCAATGCAACACTTTATTAAGAAAAGACCCAGTTCGGAGCATGCGAAATTCGTTATGCACGCTTACACGAGCCACAACCACGTGCCATGCCAAATAAATATGCAATCCATCATGCTAAGAATTGAAATGAGCCTATAAAAAGCACTGGCTCTACAAGCCCATGCTAATTATCCCGTCAAGCATCATGTCCCTTTTCAAATAAGATAAAATTCAAGCACACCAATCGACATGTAATGCCACATGAAAAATCATTATTTTTACACTTAGCCACACTACAAGCTTAAGTGGGCCCAAGCCACTCAAATGTCTGGGGTTTGCTGAGTGGGTTGTGGTATGGATGGTAACGAGCTTTCATGAGATCCATTGATGAGCCGAGAAATGAAAGTTTTAGGCTGATTGGGAGCCCCAAAACTTAAGCCCAGTTCTTGAGCCCAAATATGTGCATAAGCATAAAGGAGAGATAAAAGCCTGATACTCTAGGAAAAATAGCACAATACTTTAGGAAAAATAGTCCAATACTCTAGGAAATTAGCACATTCCTTTAACAGGTTAACCCATCACCTTAGAAAGGTCCAAGCAACTAAGGAAAATATCTGCAACCTCCAGCATTTAGCTGGAAGGGCCACAATAAAAGCCAAAAATGTCCATGTATGTAAGCTGTTGGGAGGCTCTAGCACATGGGCAAAACAAACATTAAGGTAGAACACTCAAAGAATCAGGGGGTATTTGCGCGCACATGTTGTTAGGAGAAGAGGCACCCTTCAAACCAACACCCTTACCCATTTCTTTTTCCCACCAGCTCTTGCCATGGAAGAGGGAAGGAAAGAAGGTGAGGAGGTAGCCGAAAATGGGAGTTCATTACTGAAGCAGCTGCGGGAAAGCCTTAGAGCTCCCAAATATCTTGACTTTGTGTGTTTGGACAGAGGAAGATTTCATAAAATGGGATGAGTCAATGGGAGAGAAGAGAAATAAAATGGGAGACTTTGCAAAATTTGAGAGAAATGAGGAGCTTCCAGCGGCTATGAAAAGGGCCATCTCTTATCCATCAAACAAAAACACATCCAGGGAGCAAGCATCATCTCTCATCCCTGAAACCTTGCAATTTCGAGCCCTATTCCTCCATCTCTTCCCATTTTATCTTTTGATAAGTCATTCCAGAGCTTGACAAAGCTTTCGTCAAGCTGCCGGAAAATACTCAACACACCTATTGTTCTTCCCCCACCTCTCTCTCTTCAACGAACCCTCTTAAAATTCCTTCTCCTCTACTTTGAAACCCTTATTTCTCATAGGAACTCATAGCTCTCTCTCTCTCTCTCTCTCTCTCTCTCTCTCTCTCTCTAGTTCTAAACTCATGACTACTTTGCTTCCATGCCACAAACTTCTCATGCCAAGTTAAGAATCTATCTGTAAGCGGCTGTTGTTTTTGTTGGTGAAGATAACCAGGTTGCTTCCTAAGGTTTCACTATCCTTTTGAAGCATTCTTGGGGTCTGATTCTTGAACTCATACATAGGGGGTAATTTCACACATTTGCCCCTTATGGCAACCCAGCCCATTTGTAGCTGCCAAAATGAAAAAGCCCCTACAACGGCATGATCATTTGTCCTAACAAAACTGAAGTTGAAGGATCACGGGAACGATTTTGGAAATTGAGAGTCTCAAATTCTAATCAGGTCTAATTTTAGGGACTAATAAAATGATTAACCCTTGTTTACAGCAAATGACTTTGGTTAAGTCTTTGAACAACCAATATGCCTTTTGGTTGAAATGGTAGACAAACCAATATGTCTTTTGGCCAATTGGTTAAACTTTTAATAGTACTACCGTGATTTTTGTTGTTGTCAAAATTAAGTTTGGAAAAAGGACGAGAGGCAAGTAACATTGGAGTTCGAACCTAAAATCAATGATGTTCTTATTATTGAGTTATGAACCTGCTTGCAATAAAGCGTACTACCTTGATTAAATTCATTGAACTTGCAACAAACATAATTTTTTGGTTGTCATTTGAGTAAGTGGCGTTCAACACTTTCAGACAAATTGAATGGATACCAAAGGCAACCCATCTTGCTCTCTATATGTACTTCATATTGCTAACATGAAGTATATGTCAAAAACTAGTTTTAAACAGTTTCCTACTCTTTCTTCTCCTCTATAATAATCACACAATTTCCCAAGTGGGGGGCTACATGGAGGCAGGACGGGCTGCTGCCTGGCCCAAAGTTTTCCCAAAAAAATAAAAAAGGCCCAGCAGCCTATATAATCTAACCAGCCCAAAAAGTAAGGGTGTACATACATCGGTTCAAAACTAATATAATTTAGTCAATTCATATCCAGTTTAATATAGATTAGATTGTAATTTTTTCAATCCGATCCAATCATATTAGATGTTTAAATCCAATCTGATCCAATTGATATTGGATTGGATTAGACTGGATGATTGGTTTTGATAATGGAAAAAAATAATAATGAAATATTAAACATTAATCCTTAGTTTAATCTAATCAAACATATTAATAGACGTAAATGTAAAATAATAATGAAATACTAGAAAAAAATTATTTTGATTATAGAATACATTAAACATAACTCCATTAAATAACTTAAAATATTCATAACATTTTCAAGTACAAATACCTATAAGAGCAAACTAAGTATAAACCTAATTAGATTGGATTGGATTGGATTGGATTCTCATAAACAAATCTATCATCTGATCCAATTATGTCGGTTTTGAAAATTACGAATCCAATCCAATCCACCCAATCATCGAAACCGATTAAAATTGGATTGGATTGGATCGATCGGTTTGAGCGTATTGGATTAGATCTTGTACACCCCTACCAAAAATAGAACAAGAAAACCCTTCTTATACGCTAGCCAGCCATGATCCACCACATATGATTCTCCCTACGAATTTGTCCTCTTCTTCCTTGTGTGCTCGCCATCATTGGAGGAGAGGAGAGGAGAGGAGAGCTAACTAGGCAACATAAAAGGTTCACACTCGAGATTGTTGTCATTGATAACAAATTTTTTTATTTGTTTACAGTTCTCACACTCGAGATTGCTACATAAAGGAGAGAACCAGGAGGAGCACTTACACAAGTCAGAACTTTTTCTTTGTCTCTTATTTTTAATACTTCATTTTTTACTCTTTTGCTATTACTTATGATTTAATTTCTCATATGTGCTGAGATGTTTGATTTTGTTGTTAGTATGTTTAATTAAAGGTCATTCTACATATTATTTATAAGTTTTCTTTTATTATATCGGATCACAATTGAAACCCCAATACACCAAAGAATTTGTTGTCCTTTTTAAGAAAAAGAATGATGAGTCATCATCTAGTTCAATGCCTTCTAGCACATGATCTAATTCACCACATCATCTTGCTATGCAAAAGTAAAGTACCTAAAAAAATCCATCTCTTCATATTAAAAAATAGGTAGACAAGCAATCAAAGCAACAAGTGATAGACAATCAGTTGAGACTTACAACCACAATAAAGGGCATTCGGTATCTAGCAATTAATCCATTGACTTATCTAACCGGAGCAATTAAAGTTTTTTGCAAGAATAAACATAGAAATTGAGAAAGTTGTCTTAGATAAGGCTCCTCAAAATACTCAAAATACTCAATATTTTGTTGAAACTAAAAGTGATTAGCCAAGAGTTCGTTACCAAACTCAATTGAGTGTGGCCACTTTAAGGAAACTATTCAAATTGTGTTGTTCTCCATATCTCAATCTCTTTTTTTTGGTCTGAATCTCTATTCAACAGCTTTTGTATCCAATTAGGCCAGAAGAATAATAATAGTGGCATGATGTTCGTCATAAGAGACAAAGTAAGTAGCCTGTGAGGTTGGATTATATCAGCACACCATGAAAATGGACCAGAACATTCAGAGGCACATTTTGACCCATGAAAGATGCAAAAGTTGAGCAAAGCTGCCTGAGACGTAACTTTCAACACCAACCATAAGTACGTAAGCCATTTGCCATTGCGAGACGAGGGAAAAGCAAACCAAAGACAATCAGATAAATCTCAACGTGGGCCAACCCAAACATTTGACTTATGGGCTTGTCAGGTGGTGATCAGGACTTTCCAGCTGTAACTATTCATTTTAATTCACCTGCTCCTGTAGAAGAAGAAGCTTACACAGGTTCCATTGTATTTTCTATATTTGTATTTATTTATATCCTTCTTACTTAGTGCTTATCAAATGCTTTAAATATTAAGTAAAGGTGAGTTGTACCAATTCGTAGAATAGTTTATCCGTGCTTTTATTTCCGAGTTCGAATTCTCCTCTTCTGTAATATGATTTTGTAAAAATTAATACTTGTTCTTATTTCTATATCTTTACTGGATTTTCTCTCACTCACCAATTATAATGAATAAATAAATAGTAATCAAAACTAGATAACATTTATTTTGGTTCTGTAATCAAACTACATAACAACATTTCATGATGGGGCTCCAACAATATTCTCAATAATACTTGTTTTGTTTTTGTCTTGTATTTATTTTATTTGTTATATATTTTCAGCTTAATATATACTTAATCTTTTATTAATCCCGTCAGGCCAAGTGACTGGATTTTGGAATATGGTAGTTTGCAAGGCTGCTTCGAAGTAGACGACAGGTCGTGTGGATCCCACAATCCCACTGACTCTCTTAAGGTTCATTGATCTGCAGCCACTTTCTAACATGGCAGGCTGCCTGCCTGGTACCCAATAATATACGTACCATTCTCATCATGTCATATATTTGGAGTCAAATTCCCGTTAGCAGAGACGACAAGAAGCATGAGGCACTAAGCAAAAAGGCTGACAAGCCACTATGTCTTCTTCTTTGGCTCTGCAAATCTTCTGGTTTTAGAACTTTAGATCCTCTGTTTTTTGCCACTGCAGAAGTGTGTTCATGGTGATTGATCAGCAAATGTTATGTGTAACGTGTCTTTTTTTTTTTTTTTTTTTTTTCTCAATTAGGAGGTTAGGTTTGTGTTTTTCTTTTGTTTTTGACGAGGAAAATGGAAAATAGAACCTCAGGATGATTGTTAGGTTAATTTTTGAAGGTTAGTGTATGATAATAACAATTACTCGAGGCAAGAGCAACAAATTGAACGTGAATGTCTTTCTTTATTGCTAAATTACTCATCAGTGCCTAGAGCACAGGAAGGGCCAAGAAACATGATATTCTCCACGCAATAAATAGAAGCCAATCAAACAATTAAACGGCCAAAGCACTCACTATACAATCACAAATTAAGAGACCCCAAGTGGGAATACTGAAAAATGAAACTGTGACAACCAAGCTAATTCCAAGACCCTGCTGATAAATTCAACCCTCCAATATTGCCCACCTTCCCATTTAATCTTGCTTGGTTCCCAACTTGAAGAATATAGTAAAATCATGTGCAAGATGGCCACCAACAAAGTAGAAACACACTGGTCTGAATTGCAGATGTTGTAGATCATTGAAGTTTCTGCCAGACCCTTATTGAATGGACTTGGATTGGAAGCTTGATGCCTCAATTTCCCACTTTGGGAGCCTTCCTTTATTCCACTGTTTAAATTAAAACCTGCAATTGCAATTGGAAATTAATAACCCAAAACTAAAATGGTTTGATGATAATTGCAAATGTAAATGATAGCAAGAGACAATGAAGGTTTTCACTTACATGAACGGTCTATGCTTAATAGTGAATTGGAGGTGGGGGAGATGCATAAATGTAAACCGGCGGTGGTGGTGACTTCACAGGAGGTGGAGGGGACTCGTAGATGTAAGGGGGAGGAGGAGCGGGAGATGGTGGTGGTGGGGAGTTGTATTTGTATGGCGGAGGAGAGTGTGTTGGGGGTGGTGGGGAGATGTATTTGTATGGTGGTGGAGGAGATGGTGATGGTGGTGGGGGAGAGG